AGAATATTGAAAACGAAAAATATAGATGCGGCAATAAATACATGCGGCAAACGCCTCGAGCGAAACTTCGTTTGCACGTTTACAAACAAGCAAAACTCGTGCATTTGATATTATATACCGCCCGACATAATATATTTATCCTTGCCCATGCATGAGAAAAATTATTTAAAAAAACAACAATACAAGTAAAAAGTAAAGATCGTAGCCATCCATCACCCCGAATTTAATGCGAAACACGTGAATTTATAGACAAACACGTGCGTTGCTTCATAGCTCGTATTCCAGCGTGTTCCGGGTGGGGTTCCGGGTGTTCCGGATGGGGTTCCGGGTGTTCCGGGAGGGGTTCCGGGTAGGGTTCCGGGTGTTCCGAGTAGGGTTCCGGATGGGTTCCGGGTGTTCCGGGTGGGGTTCCGGCTTTTACAGACACCCTGTATCAAGTACTGTGCTAGTATAAACGGCTTTTCAATTAACGTGTGCTATTTTTATTTCATGCACGTTTATACCGTGAGTATATTAAATTAAAATTCTTTTAAATTGATGTTTAAATTGGCAGTTTATAGTTTATTTATCAAGACCATGTCAAGTCCGCCTGTGAGCAAAGGATTTGTTTACATTTTGAACTGCTATATTTGTAAAATAAGACATACTAACTGAATATCTAACACCTTTTCTGGTTCGCAATTGTAAATGAACATAAACTATAGAGTACGTTTCAATTCAAAAAGTTCGAAAGATGCAACATTTGGGCAATGTTTTAGTTTATATCTGTGGGCCCATTTGTTATGAGCAGAACTGCTATAGTAACTTCACTTATAGTAATATTACGGCTAGTTACATAAAAAAGTAAAAGTCGTGCACAAGCCGTATTGCGTAAAGTCCGTAAATATAAAAAATATGTAAACAATGAATTTTATCAGGCATATGCATGCGACACTGAATCAGATCTACTATGTTTACGTTTTGTCACGTGTTTTGGTCACACAATAATAATACTCTGTGCTTGTGGTACGAGTTTTTCTCCCTTGGCAAAAAGACCAATGAGACAAGAATAGACAAGCAGATAGTGCTTGTGACACGTTAGACTTGCTCCAAGTCTCGCTTTCATAATTCATTGTCATGTCGATCCACTATAGTGTACATTACATGACGTAGCGCAGAGAGGCGGAGCGAGAAAGAGAGACCAGTCGACTTCGGAAAATCTCAGTTAGAAACTGAACCGAAAGGCTTCCTTTAATTGTTTTCCATCAATTTTTTTCTGTATTATTTGCTATAATAGAACTCATGTTATTTACATAGATCAACATATATAAACACTGACAGAAAACAATTAGAGCAAGTCTTGCATTTTCGATTCAGTTTTGAACCGAGAAGTTGACAAATCTCTCTTTCTCGCTCCGGCCCTCCGTACTATGTCATGTAATGTACACTATCGTGGATCGATACTATATGACAAAGAAAGAGAGACTTGGAGCAAGTCTAGTGACACATTGGTCAGGTGATATGTATTCTCGGTATAGGCAGAACGCGCAATACGCACGGTAAACAGCGAGAAGAGAGCATTTGTACTACACCTGTAAACAGCCAAAAGAGTTCATCCAAATATGACTAGGTTGACTGGGTTGTATCGTCCTCCCAGGCTAGTCACAGCGTTGTTTTATCACGCCTTATCTGCTCTATCAACTATGCTCATATACTCGAATGGCTTCCAACATGTACGCTCCGCGTACCTATTTTTTAAGAATATTTTTACAAATGAAAAATTCCCTATAAATATCACTTTTAATTACAAAATTATCAATTTCCTAAACATATATATGTTAGGTATGTTATTATACGTAATATAACCTTGAATTTAAGGTAAAATTCAACCATAAACGCTTCGCAAAACGTTTTAAAATGTTCTTTTACTATAGAACTAAACTGCCTTTATCGATAAACTTTGAGTTCGAAATAAAATGATTCCAAATTCTCCCATGCAAATAAGGGGCCGCGTCCATATTCATGTTGCCACGCTTAGCGTCAAATTGACGTTAACATTCAAACCCACCCACCCACCCTCATTAACGTCAAGCGTGGCAGTCTTTTTTTAGCCAGGAAATAGCGAGAGTTTATTATATGAATTGATGATATTTAGGAAATTTACAATATAATCCAGCAGACTATACAATTTGTAAGATGCAATATTGTAAATAAAACACTTGCTATTAAATAACACAGAAACAGTTGTTCAGTTTCTGTTTTCAACTTTTGTAACTTTTGTACTTTCCACTCGCTACTATTTTATATTAACTATAAATCGTTCTTTAAACCAATGTTCTTTGTTTTACGTGCTGAGAAAGATATGGCAAAAACACAACATGTACTAAATAGATTACAACGGTTAAGATATTCAAACTTCCGATTATAGCTGAAGGACTTCTGAAGTGGGTTTCTAACTAAAATAAAATCGATCAAACTTGACGATGTACAAATATTAAAGCAGTCATTTTTTGCATGTCTTGATCCATGGATTCACATTGTTTGCAAACAAATGTCAACTCAGCTAACGCATCGTCCATGTGATGCTGTAACTCAACGCAGTGGTCGTGGTACCACTCATCACATTCGTCGCACTGTATCCATCGAAATCGATTCCCAACCAGCGACGCAACATCACATTCCGCCAATGCGCATGGCTTGTCACCTTCCTTTCCTTCCTGCAACTCCTTGCTCTTGAGCTGTCTCAACATGTCTGATATAGATGACTGGCTTGCTTTCCCAGGTTTAGAGATCCTGGACTTGTTGGTTGCTTTAGGCTTGTCTCTTGCTCGATGATTTACTTTAGTTTGATGCCGGCTAAGGGACGGCTGTGAACCAAAACTTTTTCCACATCCTTCAAATGAGCAGTAGATACGTTGAACCTCTTTGGACCGTAACTTCTGGCGGCGATGAAACATGCTGTGATGTCTATCCTTCTCAGTCTTCGATTTAAAAGAAAAAGATGGACAAATTGGACAACTTCCAAGTGCCTTTTTTTCCGCATTTGGTTGTCCTGTATCACCGAAGCGCTTACTCGTATTCATGGTTTCCTGGAGGAATGTGTTGTAACGACCCTTGTACACAGAACTTTGTGATGGGGATGGAAGCCTCATTGCCTCTCCCAAGAAATCTTTGGCTGCTTGAGATCGAAATTCACCACAGCAGGATTTGTCACTGCATTTAATAAATATTATTTCATTCAAGTGGCGATCTATGTGACGTAGCATTCCTTTCATTTCATTAACAATATTACTGTACTCGTGAAGAGACCTCAAAGGGCACTTAAGGCACGCCCGGACTCGGTCATAGTCATCATAAAGTAAATTGTCTTCATCTACCATAACTGGTTGAACGTTAACTGGAAAATCATCAAAGGTGAGATTATACCAGTGCTGACTAGCCATTGCATTCATTGCTCGATCAAAGATAACTTTTTCTTTTTGTTTACGGACTTCTTCGTCTAAACCACTTTGTAATGCAGGGGCGGCGGTATCTTCATCCACAAGCGGGGAAAAAACTACACCGGCAAGATGATTACTTGCAAGAGACCAACAATGTTCGATCGCGTTAAAAGCAGAGTAACGGGCAGCGTATGTCATAACATCCAATATATCTGCATCCAGTTTTTTGAAAAGTCGGTAGTAGAATAATGAGTTAGCTATATGTGAAGAGTTGAAATCGGGTCCTCCATCTGCCAGGAACATAAAGATGGACTTTTCATCTTCACATGGTTTGAGAATGTTATAAAGGTCGGTCACATGGGTTGCCGCAGTGGTAGAGTTGTATTTGTGCGATCGAATCTTTAGATGAGTTGGACCTGAGTATGGTGTGTCAAGATGTAGACGACCAAGTCCATCATGTTTCAAGTTCTTACTCGCCAAATTAGTGACACTTGGTTTGTACGTATCGATGCTTTCTTCAGGAAAACGCACATGATAAAAACGACCGTCAGTCTCCTTAAATCCGTAGTACAATGGCGACTGTTTGCTACTTGAATCAAGTCTTCCTTTCAAAACTTCTTTGGCCCCATTAGATTTAAATCTAATAATGTCACATTGGAATTGTGAACTTATAGCCTCGGTTACAACATCAAGATTATTCGCGGACGACAAATTCTTGAATAGATCTGCGAGGTTATTAATATCTACTTTAGAACGATAAATATTCCCGTTTTCTGTTAATTCGTTTGCTATAACATCTTTAAGATCTTCTTCACTTACGTTTACGTTTAATTGTGTTTTGCATTGTTCTATCAAAACAGACCACAGATTATCAGCAACCTCGCCCAATTTCACTTCTTCAATGTTTTCGTTCGAATTCCGTGTGGTATCATAGGCAGTCTCGGAGAAAGAGTTGGTATCATCTTCGGCTGAAGCTCCCTCCAGAAACATGTACCCAGACACAGACAAAAGGTAATTTGGAACGGGGAAGTCATGGTCGTTGAGGTTTGGCATATCAGATGAATGGAAGATTCGGCGGATCTGATGGTACCTTGAAACAGCAGGAGCACCAACTTTTATCTTGGCCATGTCATCCATACTTAGTATGCAAGAATCGGCATCGAGCATTGTGCAGAATTCTCGGCGTTGCTTGTTTCGGGCGAACAAATAGTGACTGTCCGGATGGTACTCGCGATAGCTGTTTTTCTTACAGCCAACTCGCGCGTCAATCAAGGCCTTGTATCTATGGCTAGCTACGTTGCCTTTGTCGGGCGCATGAAACAATCTTCTAGTTGTTGAAGTCGATATGCCATGCTCTCTCAATCCCGGGACTTTGTCTAAAAGATGTTCACGAATTTGTGCCACCGAAACACCAGAACTACTCCCAGTTCCTGTGCGACGGCGACTTTGGGCAGCAAACCCATGCTGTTTTACAAAATCTGCAGCAATATTCACCAAGTCCGGAAATTTTGAACAAATGGAAGGTTGACCAGGAGTTGTTTTCGCACTTTGGTCGCCGGTTGTTGGACGAGTACATGTCTCACTCAAGTCCGAATGGTCGTGAAGTTCAGAATCACTATCCATATCGTCATGGATGTCACTACAGAGCAACAGAGCCTCAATCGCACCGGGCGTGTAGACAAACTCGTGAAGATTTAGAAATATTGCACCAGTTTTAGTTTGCAAAAGCATTACGGGCATAAGTTTTAAGATCTGATGGAGTGCATCGTTTGTCATAACGCAGCCAGTTTCTTCAGGCATCGTCACAATATTTTCAGATGTTATGCTCGCAATAGCTCTTAACTGGTCAGTTGATAATGGGTCCTGAGTTATTCCAGAATTTTCCATTATGATAATGTTGTCAAACGCTTCTTCCCACGTCAAATTTGTATTATTATAACAAAAACATGCGTGTAACTCATCTGGTTTGCGACTGGTGAGACTTAACTTGCTTCCATCTTGCTGTTTGATGCGACGGCGAAGATCACTTAAAATGTTTTTATCAGCGACTTTCATATTCAACTGCCCAACTTTAAAGACGATATTCTTGATTACTTCCAGTTTCGTAAGGTAAGTTTGGCTAATCAGAGATGCTGTCATTGTGTGCAATGTTTTTAGCTTGGTACATTGTTTCAGTAGACCCACCAATTCACTGCATACGGAATCTATTTCTTCCAATCTAATTTTTAAATTTGTTTCTCTAACTCTTAGTGAAAAAGCCATGTACGTTTTTTTCAACGGAGAAAAGGTATTCCAAGAATAGGACAAAGACGCAAGTGTTTTTAAAAGAGATTCATCATTAAGAATATCGTCAGTGAAAAATGAGTCCTGTTGATTGGAACCTATTTCTACCATAAACGTCTTGATTAACTCATGTTCATGTGATTCAAGATATTGAGCACGACCAGATAGATCATTTGGGACGTTAGCAATGGTTGACTGACAAGGAAACGTGCAAGTTGATTGCAAAGGAGGGCTAGTAGATTGAGTGCGGACATTCTTGGCCAAAACTGTTGAGACAGGGGATTTGGAAATCAGGTTTACAAAACTAGAACGTGCAATACTTTTAGACGGAGGCGGGCGATGTTCCAAATATTTCTTTACTGCACTAGGATCATTTTTAACGCTATCCCAGTCCTTTAACACTGCTTGAAGGAAATCATGTTTCCTACCAAACTTTTCATGCGTTTCTTCCCACTTTCTATTAACAAAGCGTTCGTAATCATTTTTTGGATCTTTGAAGTAGGCTTCCACGCTAGCCCTTTTCCCAAACAAGGTTAACTGTTTCGACATATCAAAGCTTAAATCAAATATTCGGAATATTAAAATACCTATAAATACTATTAAAAGATGCCGCATGTAGAAAAAGCACTATCTTTATATTGTATACACAAAACATTTATTCAAAACCTGCTATAATCAAGTTTCAAGTTTATTAATAGTATAAAAATCAAAAAAATATATAATATTCAAAAAACTTATTTATCATCGGTATATAAAATAATAGTAGAATACTTACAAAAATGTTAGAAACTATTTAATATTGATATTGTATACACAATCAACCAAGCCTCTTTCAGTTTGCGCCTTCCTTTTGTTGAAAACAAACTTTTTCAGTACTTTTTATTGAACTTTTTAAGTCTTTTTGAAAAAGAAAGACTTTCATGATCTTGTTTCCATAGAAACATAGAAAAAATGCTTCCACTAAATCGCAAAGCACTTCCTTAAACTTCCAATACCACCTGTCATATAAATAGTAATTATTAATATAGTATATAAAATGGATACATATTTGCAAAAATTACTTTCTTTAAATATTATCATTGTAGTTCACCTCAAATTCTTCAAAATTTTCACAAAATTGTCATTATGCCACACGAGTTAACGTCAGGCAAGTTAGGATAAAACCCACCCACCCACTCTTAACGTCAATTTGACGCTAAGCGTGGCAACATGAATATGGACGCGGCCCCTAACTTCCATTTGCTTAGTATAGTAAAAAGTGTAATCAATAAAGAAACACTGAAATAATACGCTGTCTTGTTTCATATTTATACACAACGATCGGCTTTTAAAGTAATTACAGTAGGTATGTTATTATACGTAATATAAGCTTCAATTTAAGGTAAAATTCAACCACAAACGCTTCGCAAAACGTTTGAAAGTGTTCTTTTAATATAAAACTAAACTGCCTTTATCGATAAACTTTGAGTTCGAAATAAAATGAATCCAAATTCTCCCATGTAAATAACTTTGCTTAGTATAATAAAATGTGTAATCAATAAAGAAACACTGAAATAATGGGCTGTCTTGTTTCATATTTTATATACGCAACGATCGGCTTTTAAAGTAATTACAGCCGAGATTACAGTATATTAAAAGCAAACAATGCATCAATATTTAAAACAAACTTACCTTCGTTAACGTCGGCACCTTTACTTCTTCTTTTAGCAATCCTCTTGCCTTTATTTCATCAAAAATCCTTTGCAATTTACAAAATCTTGCAAAAATGAAACTTGATATATTTGCAAGAAATCATCAAATCAATTTCGCTGTCGTCAATCGTCACGCAGCCGTTATAATGCCAATTTTAAACTGGACCAATCAGTGTTGGCTATTCATTACAGTCCGCTATATTATGAGATCAGTGAGGATGACCACCCACCGAAACACGCACAGTGACCCACGCCCGCGATATTTGATGAACTTTAGACTTCGCTAATGCTTCCCTTCCCCGGGTGTAAATAGCCGGGGGGGGGGGAATTAGTACCCTCCCACGGCGCTTCGCGCCGTCGGCTCGGGGACTAGCGAAGTGTGAACTCGCTATATTTTTATATTTTATACTAGCGAAGTGTGATCTCGCTAGCTGGGCAATCGTTGGCAATAATAAAGTTGTTTCATGTTGTCAAAAGATCAAGTCATCAAGGTATTGTATATCAAAAGTTACAAATATATAGGTTGTGTGCCAATAAGAAAATTGCCAATAAAAATAGTTATATATCACAGTAAAATGATCATCAGAGACAGAATAAAATTCACTCAGATAGCCGGTGACAATGTTTATTTACCATTGTTACTGAGATTAGCCAACGATGTTGAAGAAAACCCTGGGCCTACTGTATACACTTATGATGTAGTTGACCCAAGCAAAACTATTTGTGCTGATTTTAGCCACGACAATGGTAGATTATTCAGACATAATGCTGCCAAGCAATGTGTTGCCATGTCATTGACATCAATAGTACACAGCAAAGTCAAAAATGTGAATGAATGGGATTCGTTATTATTTAATTTTATGTTCTGGAAATGACCTTTATACTTACATAAGCAATTCTATTGGAAAATAATTTTTACTATTATCTGAAGTACCAGAGTATGTTTTGGTATCCAGTCAAACATGTGACTTACAGGGCCTCATTTGGGGGAGATTTGTTTATGAATGCTACCATGTTACCATGCTGTTCATTTGAAGATTCGCTAAATAGCTTGTTCTTTAAGGTGGCTCCCTATAGTTAGTTAAGCATGGGACTGGTAACGAAAATGCCAGTTCGTGTTTGCGTGGAAAATTCGTGGATGCAGGAAAATTTCGCGCGTGCGGGAAACATGCGGGAAATTTAAATGTCAAGTTAAAGAGCAATTTCAAAACAAACATGGCCTCGCGGTTTAATAATCGGCTTTCAGACGGCAAGTTTGGCAAAGTTTCACAAATAAATACTTCCCACACGAAGGAAAGGCTACTAAAGGCAATAAATTCATGGCGAAAAACAGCAAGAGTAGAGTTTGAACCACCACCGAAAGTTCCGAAGCTCGAAAAACTTCTGAAGGGCTTTACAAAGTTTTTGATCCTCACTCAAGAGATACTTACGGTGTTCCTGATCCAAATGGTAAATGTGTTTTGGTTTCAATTGATAGCATAGGAAATTTAGTAACCTACTTTCAAAATACTATACCTGTACGAAGTGTGACACCATTTGAAATAAAAGGTGTAACAGTTGAGCTAATGGCATTTGAGTCAGCAGAACAAACAGACACTTCAGGTCAAAAAGCAAATACAAATAGAGCTTCTTACAAAAGGCGACAAACAACAGAGAGTGAAAGTCATAAACAAGCTTGGTTGGAAAATGCTAGGATCTACAAAAAGAGAAAACAACCCGAGAAAGAAGTAAGAAATTTACAGAATCAGGGTGATTATCTTGAAAGGTTTGACATCACAAATGGTGGTATTCATGAACAAGCTTGGGCAAAATCAGTTTAACATGCAAAAGTTTAGCAAATCCATTCATTATATATTTGTAGCCCAATGCACAATTTGTAAAGAAGCATGGCCTGTAAAAGCATCTTCAAAAATATCTGAAACATATGTATGCCAAAGGTGTTCTAGAGAAATCTCCAAGAAAATTTTCATTTGAAAATTCAATGATTCCATCCCCTCAACCTGTCCAGTTACATGGTTTGACTCAAGTGGAAGAAATGTTGATTGCTCGAGCTCTCCCAATTATGAGAGTTTATATTAAGCCTGGTGGGCAGAGGGGTTACTCAGGTCATTGTGTGAATCTGCCACAAAATATTACAGAGCTGGCAACATCATTGCCACGATATCCGAGAGCATTATCTGTAATTCTGGTTAAAGTGAAAGGTAAAAACAATACATTTAAAGATGTAAAAGTAAGAAGAGAGAAAGTACATAATGCATTATTGTGGTTGATACAAAATAATCCTCTTTATGCTGAGTTAGAAATAGATACTGATGCATTGAATTCTTTACCAGAAAATGGTGTTCCAACTGATCTCGTGGCTGTTGAGACTGAAGATGATATAATTAACGATAGTGACTTGATGCCTGATGATCGAAAGCCCACTTACTGATAACCCAGATGAGGACATTGTTTATAATAACTCCACATAATTTAGTAGTTTTCTACCAGTTGGTGAACAGCAAGCACAAGAAAAGGAAGCTGTTAGAAACCAGCTGTCAGGTAATGGAGCAATTGCATGACCAACAGTTGGAGACCAAGCTTTAAACGAATATCAAATATCTTGCCTAGCCACAATGGCCTTTTCAACAACATTCCCAGATGGCAGATGCAAAAGGGGATCCAACTAATGAAAGCCTTTTGAGAGATGTTTCTTTTGCAGAACGAATTAAACATTTAATTAAATATGGTGAGTTCATTGATTCAAAATGGGTTTATCGCTTTGCAAAGCACCCTAGATTCAGAGAAAAAGTATTTTGCAACAGAGTGGAATATTTCTCAAGCAAAATCCAGGTGAAGCACATCTCACCATAGACAATCAAAGGAATGGACTGGAAACGCTAGGCAAAACGCTATGATGCGAACGCGGCATCCGTGATACGGGCTAGCACGTATCAATTCATCAGTTACCGTGGCAACTGGCCTGTAAAAAAGTTTAAAAAATGTAGATTTTGCATATATTTTTTCCCTTTTTTTTAACAAACGCAAAGGTAAAAGATATTTTTTGGCGGTACCAAAAGCAGAGAATATATGCCAAGGTGAGTACGTGTATATTTTTAATTTTCCCTATAAAAACAATCATTATAACTTCGGTTTTTCACAACGTTGACAAAACAATTACGCACGTATATTACATCTCTCCCTGTGTGGTTATATTTCGAACCCTGGAACTTGGCGACAAAGCTGTCACTTGTCTGCTAAGGCATATAGTTATACTCTCATATGTAATGTTGATTCCACTAAGACGTTCACAAATCCCTGCGATATACAAATTTTGTAATAAATATATTTTTTAACAGCTCACCTTGCGCGACTACGAAAAGATGTCAATTTTTGTTGTTCTAAATCCGAACCCTGTAACTACAGTTTTAAAAGAGTTTGGGATTTTAAGGTTACATATTTTGAACAAGAATAGACTAATGAGTTCCACTATCGCTTTTTTAAACTTCTTTTTGGCAAAACAAACTCAAAAATCAATATTGAATGCGTGTGCACTGTCTTTGAAAACACAAATGTCGCTATTTTTGTTTTTCGAGTATACACTTACTTCGAACCCTGTAACTACAGTTTTAAAACAGTTTAGGATTTTAAAGTCACATATTTTGACTTAGTTAAAGTTTAATTTGAATAAGAGGTGTCAAGTTAATGTAAAAATCGTTTGAACTTTATTGGAAGTATATTAATACAGTACGTACCCATGCACATAAACACCAGGGCAATGGCGACATTTGTGTTGTCAAAAACAGTACGCACGCATTCAATGATGATTTTTGGGTTTGTTTGACCAAAAAAGAAGTAAAGAACGGTAGTGGAACTCGTGCTTGTTCAAAATAGGTAATTTTAAAAACCTAAACTGTTTAACACTATAGTTGCAGGGTTCGAAATATGAAGTGCATACTTCGCAAACAAATCTGGCGACATTTGTGTTGTCAAAAATAGTATGCACACAGTCATTGATTATTTTTAGCCTTATTAACGCAAAAAGAAGTTTAAAAAAGCGATAGTGGAACTCATTAGTCTATTCTTGTTCAAAATATGTGACTTTAAAATCCTAAACTGTTTTAAAACTGTAGTTACAGGGTTCGAAGTAAGTGTATACTCGAAAAACAAAAATAGCGACATTTGTGTTTTCAAAGACAATTCACACGCATTCAATATTGATTTTTGTGTTTGTTTTGCCAAAAAGAAGTTTACAAAAGCGATAGTGGTACTCATTAGTCTATTCTTGTTCAAAATATGTAACCTTAAAATCCCAAACTCTTTTAAAACTGTAGTTACAGGGTTCGGATTTAGAACAACAAAAATTGACATCTTTTCGTAGTCGCGCAAGGTGAGCTGTTAAAAAATATATTTATTACAAAATTTGTTTATCGCAGGGATTTGTGAACGTCCTAGTGGAATCAACATTACATATGAGAGTATAACTATATGCCTTAGCAGGCAAGTGACAGCTTTGTCGCCAAGTTCCAGGGTTCGAAATATAACCACACAGGGAGAGATGTAATATACGTGCGTAATTGTTTTGTCAACGTTGTGAAAAACCGAAGTTATAATGATTGTTTTTATAGGGAAAATTAAAAATATACACGTACTCACCTTGGCATATATTCTCTGCTTTTGGTACCTCCAAAAAATATCTTTTACCTTTGCGTTTGTTAAAAAAAGGGAAAAAATATATGCAAAATCTACATTTTTTAAACTTTTTTACAGGCCAGTTGCCACGGTAACTGATAAATTGATACGTGCTAGCCCGTATCACGGATGCCGCGTTCGCATCATAGCGTTTTGCCTAGCGTTTCCAGTCCATTCCTTTCTATGATCTCACTATTGATGAACTACGTGAAATGGCTGCAGGTAGCAACTCAGCTGCATTCATGTCCGAAATATCAAGATATATTGGAAATATTTCAGGTAGTAATGGCTAATGCATATTGGAATAAAGTTAGAGAGGAACTGAAAGCTATAATCACGAATGTTGGGGCGCCAACCATTTTCTTTACATTTTCATCAGCTGATGTGCACTGGCCTGAGTTACACTCTTTACTGGGAACTGATACAGCCAATTCTAGCAGTGATATAAGACGACAAAATGTAATAAATAATCCACACATTGTGGACTGGTTTTTTACTCAAAGGCTAGAATGTTTTAAACACTGGCTTTATAATACCCTAGGTGCACAATGGCACTGGTTTAGATATGAATACCAAGGTAGAGGTAGTATTCATTGTCATGGTACTGCTAAACTAAATAATTACCCAGGCTTGTGTCAACTTACTCAGACTGCTTTGAAAGGATTCTTGTCTCAGAAAGTCAAAGACGAGAATAGTATCCTAATTGACACAACAGAACTCGATCAGGATATTGAAGCTGGTCAAAAAGCAGCTGACAAGTATGTCAGTATGTTGATTGGTTGTTATCAACTGTTAACCCCAACCCACCAGATGAGAATATCTGGATACGACCAAATATTCACCTCTGCCAAAAATGCCATGGTGATATTACTGACGAGGAACAAAATAGTGATTATATAGATCTTTTAAATATGGTCCAGCGACACACTTGCTGTAGCACAAGTTACTGTCGAAGAAAAAAATCTAATGAGTCAGAATTAAAATGTAGGTTCCATTTTCCCTTTGATCACTGTCCACAGACTAAATTAGAGTTTGAGAAAGTTAATGGTAAGGATGACAACATGCATTATAAAGCAAGAGTTGTTACCAGACGAAATGATTCAAGGGTGAATAATCACCAGCAATTGCAGTTGCAAGGCTGGAGAGCAAATTGTGATATACAGGTTGTAATTGATCATTATGCTTGTGTTAAATATCTCACAAAGTATGCTGCTAAGGGTGAACCAAGGTCATCTGTTCTTAAAGATGCATTTAATAATATCATGCAAAAAGTCGGCAATAATAGTGATCCTCACACAGCTATAAAAAAGTAGTAATGAAAACAATGGGTGAAAGAGACTATGCAGCTCAAGAGACCATGCATCATTTGTTGTCCTTAAAACTCCACAGCTCTTCATTTGAAGTCATTCCAGTAAGCCTTAATGGTTCACGAAGAGTACGTAACATTTGGTTGGATTGACAAACGTTGCAAACAGGCTATGGGGTTTCACAATAAAATTATTGGTGGAAAGTCTCTTATTCTTTTTGGTGATCCAGGTCAGTTACCACCTGTGGCAGACAAACCGCTCTATCATGCCAAACCATCAAGTGCTAGTGGTGAACAGGGTTTCAAACTTACAGAATGTTTGATAAAGTTGTTAAGCTTACTGTCAATCAGCGAGTGCAAGCGAGTCCAAAGGTTGTAGGTTCGAATCCCACCGTGGTCGGGCATATTTTTCAAGCTCGCCCGGTGTGGATATACACTCAGAGTAACACCACAAATATCATATTCACCTGAGTACACTACACCAACACAAAAAAAAGTTATTCATTGTTGTTTTCCGATTATATCATATCAACATTAATGGTTTTTTATAATTATACAGGCGATGCAAGTGATGATGGAATGCATTGCTACTTGCATAGCATTTTTACGGTACAAAAAGCACAATCGTCAAACAGAAAGTATTTTAATTGCATCGTGCAGGGCAATGACAGGCCTGTGAGAGCAGTTTGCTACTCGCCAGAAAAAAAGGCAGAACTTAAAGCCCTAGCTGCAACAAAAAGTCCAGTTAAAATGAGAAATTTCAAGCAAGTTGACACATCTGATGATATCATCATTACGAAATGGACGAAGATGACCCCATTGGAAAAAGATCAAATCACATTCCCATATTCTGACGAATTGGCCGCTAGCACAAGTGGAGAACCAATTAAATAATCTGCTATCCATAACCTCGCTGGTGAGCAACTGATATGCGTAAGAGGTGAAGCATCAAGCATATCTGGCATCAAAATGGTTACAACACAGTATTCAGGCAGCACCCAAAAGCAAGAAGTAATAATCAGAGATCCGACTGCTTCTGTAAAGGTACTCTTTTGGGGAAGGTATGTCAATTCCCTTGAAATCAATAAAACATCAACCTCGTTCCCAGGGCTTCAGTGTGAGGACGAGGCGAGACACGAGGAAGCCCTGGTCTGGGCCGGTCACGTGACGTCAAAAAATGGCAGTATTTGACAGCTACTCGTCAAGGAGTGGCGAGATATTCTTTAATGAAATATACAAGTCTTCGAAACAAATAAATAGCCAAAAGACTTCTCAATCGATATTATTTATGTGTAGAGCGAAGTTTGACACGAATCAGCTAAAATCTATGAAGATCCCGTCTATGTTTTCTAAGATATACCGATATTTCTGGAGATTTTCAATTTTTTCAACTACAGGCAAAGCTCTGCATCCAAGCTGCATCTAGGCGTCTCCATGCAAGTGGTGATTCACACGAAATTTCCTTTCTCTCGTCTTGAACAATATGGCTATTGCTATAATTAATATTTAGTTTAAATATGCTCCTATAGATCTGACTTGGTTCAATATATTAAATAAACACAAATATAAATCCTCGCGTAACCTGTTTACGCTGTACAGGAATATACGGTTCGCTTGTTTCGCCGGACACCAACACTTGCCGTTCAGGAGCAATGCTTGCCTACAAATTTTATCCCCTTCACAATCTTTGTTTTATTTTATCGTATAGTCGCAATTTTCAAGTATATTCGGCGTATTCTGAAACTGAAAAACTGGGTGGCGTGCGAATCTTGTAGACTACATCGGCCTAGGCGTAGAGCTATAAAGTAAACAGGGCCTAAATTAATTTAGTAGTTTCATTTAATTGTTTGTCTTACTTTTACTTGTCAGTACAGAATATTGTAAATTAAAATATTACTACAATGCAATACGCGTAGTATTTCATCAGACATCTGCACTAATAAATACTGTACAAGGAAAACTTAAATAATAGTAGACATTTCTTGTTTTGCCAGGAAACATCACAGCTCACTTCGACATGGCTTTTGAGTTTTGTAACCGGCCGAGGCGAAAGTAAATCGTGCAGTCAGGAAAACGTCTCACTTTGAAAGATTATTTTGCAAAGCATACTCGTACACACAAGAATCATAAAAATACAAATGTTGAATTGTGCATGTAATTTGTTATTGTCAACCGTCAAGTTCAGTTATTTTTAGACAATATGGTGTTAGCCAATCAGAATGCAAAATTGACCGGCCCAGACCAGGGCTTCCTCGTGTCTCGCCTCGTCCTCACACTGAAGCCCTGGGAACGAGGTTGATAAAACATATCTTTTCAAAAATCTCCGGGTGAAAGTCACCAAATATGAACGCTACCTGAATACCCCACGTAAAGATGACTTTACTGCGACACAATGCCAAGAGTTTGATACTCCTCTTGTGCCACTGGAAGAAGATGTAAACACCATCTCAACTTTCTCTGGCTCTATTCTTGGTGTACAAAAAGCCTCCAAATCCCTTGCATGCGTAGGCTGTCATAAAAGGTCTGTCAAGGTAGAGGGAAATAAAGCTGTGTGCCAGGCATGTGACCTTTCCCAGATCGCAACACGATGTCCCAGCTTCTGGTCAGTCCGATTGTTAGTGGAGGGTCCTGAAAGGGGGGGGGGGGTGCCAATCCCATTTCCCACCTGAAATTTTGGCAAAATCCCAGTCCCAGTTGGATTTTTATTAGAATTCCCAGTCCGAGTTATTGAAATCCCAGTCAATAAAAAACCCTTTATTTATCAGTACAATAAACAGTTTGAAGACTTTTAAGCCATCGTGTGTGCAAGTGGCACACACTTTATGAAATTTGTGGTGGGGGTTAAATTTGAATCCCGGAAATGGCATTTGCAGCATTCTGAGACACGCATAATCAGAAAACCCAGAATTCTGGCCGCCAGAGTATGCTTGTTCGCAGGTAGTGCTGTGAATAATATAGTTAACAACAAAAATCATGACCAAAGACACCAAAAACGGACCAAAATTGTATTTTAAAATACTTAAAATGTATTATATATATATATATATATATATATATATATATATATATATATATATATATATATATATATATATATATATATATATATATATATATATATATATATATATATATATATATATATATATGAGTAGGTTTGTGTATACGAAACGCAAAGAGTGCTCAATATCATAAAGATAGAGCAAATGTAGAATTTCGCTTACCTCAAAATTCCGCAACAGTCTGTTTCATCAGTAAAGAATCATCAGGCGGTATGACAAGTTTCGAAAAATAGGGCTGCTTATATGTGTTTTGGCTGGAACGTGGGGGTGTGTGGGTGAAACAAAGCATGCATTCATCTATTGTTTGCGTTGTTTACGCGGAAATGCCTAATCGAATTGTGGGAGTGTATTGTTTGCGTTGTTTACGCGAAATTTCCTCCTATGTCTGCACGTAGATATAATTTCCATTCTTTTATAAACAGTTTTGGTTTTCTTTCAAAATACAAAATTTTTCCTCTAAGCATAAATTGCATCATTTTGATCCTCCCGTATACGAAATAGCGCGTTTCAAAATTTGCCAATTGATATTAAAATCTTTCTTGCTATCTTTCAATGTCCAAATATATTTCGAAAGTTCAGTTTTGTTTGAATGCTCTTTATCGAAAGTATAGTTATGGTTAGCCAAACGCTCTTTAAATGTAGTTTATGTCATGCCATGCATATAATTCATGATCGTGTTAGGGTTGCTTGTTCTGACTGTTGCTTTGTATACTATGTCCTTAGTCATGCAATGTTTCTGAAGTGGGCATATTGCGTTTTTTGAACAACTGCAATTGACAGTGCCCTTGCCCTGTGCCTTGTTCTTCCTAGCTATATGCACATTGTGCTTAGTGATTATAGACTTAACATTGCTCATATGCAGCTATAACTTACTTTTACCGTATTTCCGTTAAAGATCTTATGCAGCTTGTGGTGCGAAGGAAAGTGCATGCTTAATGTCGATAAGGTTAAGAAAATTACGCCCCATGTTAGTGCTGACATTCATGCTAAATGGTGGGTTGAACCAAATGATATTACGTTGCCTATTTCTGCGTGCTTGCTGTGCTGCGTGTTGAGTGTAGTTAAGATCATGATTAAAGTTGCTATGGTCAAGTGCGTTTTGGTGATGCAGGTGCAGATTCCATAAATGTTTACTCATCTGATGAAAGCATTGCGATGCGCTTGTTAACTGATGTAGGAAGCTGCCTTATAATGCTAGGTGGATGGTTAGAGTACCTATTTATCTATAGCGGATCGTCATTGGGCTTTCTATAGGGCCTATATTTTCCGTTGTTAAGATTGAAAGTTACATCTAAAAAGTTTACTATGCGTAAATTTGATTCGGCGGTGATTTTTAGGTCAAACAGCTCGAAAATTTTGTGGAGTTCTTTTCTTGTTTTGTCTGCTAAACGTGCCGATTTACTTTTTATAAGGGCCAAACCGTCGTCTCTATATAGGCCGATGCTTTCTTTGCCAAACTTCTTACTTAGGTGATTTAGGATGAAAAGGCCAACTAATTCACATATTTCGGCGCCATCGTGGCTGCCCATGGTAACGTCAAACCGAACCTTGACTATCTTTTTTAGTCCATGGTTTTCCGGTGTTGAAAAGCAGAGATTTTCTGGCTTCTTTTATGATCAAAATATCATTATCCGAAATGGTAGTTAAATTAGAAGCCCAAGATAAGGCTTGGTCCAAAAGCTTTTCCGAAATGGATGGGTACAAATCAACGATGTCAAACGAAATAAAACTATGTCTTTCTTTGTCTTTTATATTTCCAAACCATTCAATTACTTGTTTTGTATTTCTCCACTGGTTCAAATTCAGTTTTTGTCGCAAGCTCGGGCGGCCCTCACAGTGGCCCTGGTTCAGGCTGTTGATCTGCGTCGGAATTCCGACGCAGAGGCTTGGTCGCACAGCATATGCCTTTCTCCCTAAAAACATGGCGACCGCAATGAATGCAACTGTACGAGGAAGGCAGAAGCAATATATTTTGCACTTGCAAAAACAAATAATACTCAAATTAAGTTAAAGGAAGAGCAGAAAGAAGATATTCGTCAAATAGTAAATGGAAGGGATGTTAAATCGTTGATATACCAACTTTTACCGTCCATGTTCGACTACATTAATTCGAGAAAAAGAAATATTTCTGCCGTGTTGCCAGAAACAATTATAATCGTGATTTCCCCATTAAATGCACTGGTGGGCGACCAAATAGACAAGCTAAAAACTGACATGGGTGTTAAGGCAGTTGTTTTACGCCATGATGATCATGATCAAGAAATGAAAGGTGGGTACTATTAAAAATACTTCATTTTGCTATTTTTGTATATAATACATAATATGTATAGACGGTAAATAGACCCCTTGCCTAAAAACCAACTGGTTGGAAAGTTTATTGAAAATATAATTAGCATTAAGCAATCACTATTAAGTGTACTTGCCATGTTAGGGTCTTGGGGAAATGTTTCCCTTATTTTTCTGTTATCAGCAGCTGTATCAAAATGTATGCATTATTAAATAAATTTATTTGTCTTTTCATAGCTTACAGTATGTATCAACAAAGTATGGATGTAAGGCCTCAGAGGTTCGCCAACACATGAGGACAAAAACAACACTGTAAAGTGTTGCAAAGTGCAGAAAGGCAAACAAGAACAATAGTCAAAAACAGAAACACCAGGCTAGTTATTAAAAATATTATTGCCCAGCAAATAATTTGCAAAAGGGGCATATTCAAAAAACATTTAGAATATAAAAATATTTATTGAGTAATGTTACAAGTGACTTGTTGCTTGTTTTTAACTAGATTAGTCAATAACTTATTTGAGGACTATGTTTTGCTCAAGGCAAATT